AGAAAATATATTTTTCCTACCCTACCAGAAAGGGACCTGAACAGCTTTCAAATGCATAAAAATCCTGCTGCAAAGAAAACTCCTTTTCACAGTTACAGTGGGGAGGATAAGAAGACACAGGCTTAAACTGCCTTAAGAAAACTTGTGTTAGATATTAGGAAAAACCTCAGATGCGAAGGATAATGATGCAAAATACGCCACATACAAAGGTTATGGGGATTTACCACTGGAGGCTTTCAGTAAGAGGTTAGAAAAACGTCTTTGGTGCAAGAGTTTAGATATAGTGATGTTGTCTAAGGAGGAAGAGGAGTCCAGATAAAGGATTTTTAGATGTCTTCGAATCCCAATTTTCTGTGATTTTCCTGTGTACAAGTTATTCCTACATTTACCTGCTTAATTTTCCTTTTGTGTACCTCAGCAGTTAATTTGAGGCTTGTTGGAAGGATCACATATCAAGCCTGGGACACATGAGACTTTATGTGGGATAAAGTCAGAAGCAATTAGGGAATTGAGAGCAATTCCTTTATTATGAAAATTTATACATATGAGTATTGCTACCAAACCCAATGTAAATAGGTAGAATAGTATTTAAGGACATGAATATTTATCATAATTTTCTTTTTTTCAAATGGGAAATGCAAAGCACAAAGGTCTGAACCATCTGTAATGACGCAGCAAGTTGTCAAAATGAGCCTGAAAAATGGATTTCCTGGCTCCTCAAGTGACCTATCTGAGGGACTACATGCTCCTCCTGCTCTTTCTCCCCTCTCTGCCTCCCTTCCCCCCAGCAAGCTGTGCAAGAACTTCAGCATTTCCTCATAAAAGTCTTTTGCCTGCAGCTGGGGGAAGTTAGACACTACAACAGTGTCGGTACCTTCTGCTGTAACAAGAGCACACATCACAAAAATGATCATTACCACAGGGAAAAAAAAAACAAAAAACTAAAGCTGCCTCAGGACCTACACCTTGCAGAGATGTTCTTGGGTTGGTAATCCCCATCTCCTTTCTTTACCTTGCCTTTATTCTGGGTAACATTTGACAGAAAGACTCTGTTCCTCTACCAAGTGAGTAACTATAAAAATACAAAAAAAGACACTGCTGATAAGGAGGAGAATTGCTCTTTATACAAGTGCAGATGAATCCACAAGCGGTTGCAAGCGAAGCGTTGTTGCTCCAGCCCACTGTGGAAAAGGAGCAGTCTAGCTCAGCACTTTCTGGGCTCTTTCCTAAGGCTGCTGTAACTTGAACTTGTAGGAAATCAGAACCAGAGCCCAAGATTAGAACCAAAAAACCTCTGGTAACAAAGTATTACAAAGCCAGTGCCAGTCCTTCTGCACCACCGCTTACGAGCCCTCATAGGCTCGCTTCCATTCCCTACGTGCCAGGGCTGGAACCAAAGGAGGACCCACACTTGAATCATCCACAGGAAATCCTGCCTCTCAAACTGACCATGCCGAGGCACACCAGGCTCCAAATTAATTCTGAATTAATTTCCAAGAACTCTGCTAGGCTCTAAGCCACGTACATAGATTAAACATAATTTGGATTCATCATTACCAGTAAAACTAAAAACTAATTAGAAGAATTAAAGTGTAAGAATAATGAATTAAAAATATGTCAGGAATATAAAAGTCAGAAACATCTCCAAAAAGAATAAAAGTTAATGTTTTAATTAGTTGTTTTCTCAAAAGAAAAAAAAAAAAAGAAGACGTTCCTACATCATTAGAATAAATATTACCAGTCTTTATATGCTTAGGTATTTCCTGGCTTATTCCAATGGCATATTTAAATTTTGATTTATAAATCAAGGGATATTTCTCATTGCCATAAGATGCATTCCACTGGGTCTCAAAGTCTTTAGCAGATCCCCACTGTGTGTACTTTATCCTGATGGTTTCACATTCATGTTCATCAACACTCAGCAAGAAACATAAACAAAGCCCTTTCTCAGATGCACACATGCAGTTCCCATTGACTTTGCTGGATTTTCAGCTGACTTCAATCAGAACTCTGTGCATGCAGAAGGGCAAAACTTGGCTCTGCATATTCAATAAAATTACATCACTAGGTACCTTTTAAATGAAGGGCAATGCAGGCCATACTGAAAAATAATATAAACTGAAACCCCTAAACTGTAGCCAAATAAATTCAAATTTCAGCCAGGTTTTTCCAGAATAATAAAAAGGGCACGCATTTTAGGCAAGATGAAATGAAACCCTAATACCATCTCATTTACCAGAGTGCACTCTGCCTCTTTTACCAGGATAAAGTGTGAAACCCAGGTATTTAAACAAGGTGATGTACTTGTTGTTTCAGGTATAGCAATGATACTGGCATCTGAAACAATAAAGTAAAGGTCAAGTAACAAGCTGTGATTTGGTAAGTCCTTTTCTGCAGCTGTATCCTGGCCCTGTAAGCTATGACTGTAATTACAAGTGAATTTGAAGTGTAGAATACCACAGTAGAAAAAGTAATTAAGCATTATATTAATAACTAATATTGCATTATTTTTGAATCTACTCTAACAGTGCTATTTTAAACATATTAAATGCTTGAGCCTAGGAGTATCTATCTTGAGCCCTTCAACCCTCCTTTCCAACTTGCCAAAAGAACAACATAACAAAAATCCCACACAACCTAGTAAAAACAGTTCCCTTCCAAATTTCAAATGACATCGTGTAACACAATTTCTGCCAGATACATTAGCTAATGCACACTAAGCAAAGCAATGCACCATGTGTTTTTTCCAATTTTCTTTCCTTTATTTTACCTTTACTCATTCCATGATGTAACAACCCATACCTTTTTACTGCATCTTTAAAAATACCTACCTACTAGGATGAAGAGTGTTCTCACTTCTAAAAAACCATCTAACAATGGGCTTCCTCACACTTTCTGTTTGTCTGATAAGCGCTTGTTAACCTGCAATTACAAATTTATACACAGAAGCCCTCAGAGATGAAAACCACACAGGAGACTTGATGTTCATGTTTGGTCATTGCCCTCTGCCCAAAGAAGAAACATCTCTGATGATTTTCACAATTAAATAGCAGAACAGATTTTATGAATATTTTTTTCTTCATAGTTGGAACAGCCCTTATTCTCCACTCCATTGTAATACTGAGTCACTTTGCATCAAGCTGGTCATTACTGACAAGCCAGGGAAGAAAGGAGGGAAGTGGATGAAGTGCTCTGAAGCGACACGTGCGATGGGGTACGTATCAGGTTGTTCCTTGAAGCAAGTTATTTAAAACCAGGAAAAAAAATCATTACAATACAGCTCACCTAAGGGAAAACAATTTAATAATTATTGAGAAAGTCCAGTAAATCTAACACTGGTGGTCAAAGGGATTGCAAAGTGTAAGTGAAGCAAGAGTCTAGCCTGATACAAATGCTGAGTTGTACTGGTCATTCACACCAGACTATCCAGTAAATTAAATAATTAGTATTGTGGAATCTGTTTCTCCTAAACTATGGCACTCTCAAATTAATAGTTATGAGGTCTGGTGGGGTTCTGCTCTCTCAAACCAACTCCCCTCCTAACATCCCATCCTGACATTGGTGGCCTGTGAAGACACTCATTTGTCTCAGAACTCCTTCATGGAACTCCAGGTCTACTTCCTGTTGTCTCTGTTGGAGCATGAGCTTAGAGGATTTACAATGTGCTACGAAGAACATTTATTCTAGCTTAAACTCTGTGATTCTGACTATAAAATCGGGAAAGGAAAGGTATCCCCATCTCTCCCCTCAGTCCTACTGGGATGCGACTGTTCCAAGGAGAAAGTTTTTAGGTTTTTTTTAAATGCATAGCATGTCTGTTTGATGATGAAAATAAAATTCAACGTGATCATTTTTCAAGAAAGTTGATTTTAAATATTTAAGAAAGAAAATAAAATCCAACAAAACAGACAGGTCACAAACTTGGCTTTTTGGCATGTCCTGTTTAAGCAATGACACATGAAGAACTTTATGTTCGAACAATTACCTGGTGCTTTAAATAGGACACTAAGGGAATAACATTTCAAAACGTATTCACACAGCATGAGAGTAATCCTCCTCCTGGGAGTACCAGTGCAAATCAGAGTAACTCCTCAGAGGTCAATTGAAGTACACCAGCACAAAATAAATGTGAGACAGAAGGGAATCAGGCCCCATCTACCTCTATTTTAATGCAGAGGTTGCAGATCATCTGCAATGATAAAGTGAACAACGTAAATATAACTGACATCTATTCAATTGATCTCACATCCTGCCGACTATTCACAGCTCCAAATACAGGACTGAAGAACAATGGTTTGAGGAAGGCAGGCAGAAATCCGGGTTCTAACCCATTCACACATTCCACTTTGTTAATACCTCCCACCTGAACTGCCTTCATCTCCCCACACTGCTAAATCAGGGAAGGTTTAATTTGACATTGTGCCCCCAGCTCCTAAAGAACAACTTCTCCTAAAACAAAGTAAATGAAAAAATACCAAGTGAGATACATGGGAGGAGAGAAGACAAATACAAAAAATACGTGCAAATGTGAGAACCTATGGAGAAACTATTAAGAGAGTCCCTGTCTAACACACCATATATATATATGAAAGGCACTGGCAAATTGATTAATTATTTGGAAACCTAGCACTAAGAAAGAATGGTATGCATGCAGGGGAAGACTAAAATATGAGGCTATTTCAAACTCTGGTGTCATTTGTGCTAATTTAAGTGGATCTGTAATTATTTCCTACAACTCCACGATGTCCTGAACCAGCTTCCTCCTCCCCTGCAAGGCTGATAAAAGGACTCCTGGCAACACACTAAATATATTATGCAATGTATAGAATACTACCGAGAAAAAGCGCTGAATTACACAGAAACAAAGAACATTAGGTGCGAATATCACCACCTTTAACTACTTACCACATCAGTAAACGCAGCATTACAATTCTCCCGTACCTCTGCTACCTGCACCTAACAGCGTTCGCTACACGTAACAAACTTAAGGCGAATTTTACCTCAAATCTACTTAGGCTCGAGCTCTTTGACCGGGACTTCTTGCGGAGATAGACCGAGAAGAAGCGGCGCACTGTGAACTTCTTCATGTTCATGTCCATCGCCCTGTCCCGGCGGCGGCGCGGAGCACGGAGGAGCTGCGGCGCCGGCGGAGAAAGCTAGCGCATCCCGATCGCCTATCCCTATTTACATCCACAGGCAGGAGATCCTCCGAAGCTCCGGGTTTTGTTCATCCAGCCGGGCACAGCTAGAGCCGCCGGAGGTGCGGGGCAGCCCGCATGCAGCCGCCTGCTGCCGGGAGCAGGGAGGCGCCGGGCTGGGTTTAGCCCGGGGAGCGGCCAGCCCGGCTCCGTGGCCGCCGCCCGCCGCCCTC